TCAGCTTAATGGTGTTTGCTGTTGAAGACACGTACATTATTTCCACCTTATATTATATATCACTTTCTAGAGAAATTCTTGTTGAGAGAAGTGAGCCATTGCAATTTGTCAATGGCATTAATTTTTTAGATTTTTTTCTAATACATAAAGGAAATACTGGGGAGATCATTTCTCTTTTGGAACCCAGTCTTTCACTGGCTGCCCAAAGAGGATGGCCTGTACCATTTCAGGTCATGTGATCAGAGGACACTCATGTCTGTTATCACCATGTTTGTTTGTAGACTGGATTAGATTTTAGTGCACTGACTCAGATCATAGGAGACATTGAAAATCTCCAAGTGTTTTAAGGAGCTTGGTAAGAAAGCGACTGGACTTTAAACACTAGTGGGATTGTTCCTTAAGAAGGTCATTAACTCACTATTGATCATGTGCCTCAAGAAATGAGACACATCATTACCAACAGCTTTTTTTATTTATGTTACATTTTGGTGTCTTTAGTTTGATAATGTCTGAAGTTTCTGTCTTTATTGTAGTGCTCTGTACGCTCGTCTGCAGTGGACACGCTCAAGGTGACTGAACAGTTTTCCTTTTTCAATTTCTTCCTTTTTATTTTAAAAAGGTTATTCTCAACCTGTATGACTCTAATGCAGATCCTATTTGTGTTACTTTTTTTCTATTTATCACAGTATTTTCATTTTGTGTGAATATAAATAAAGTGTTATCAATCAATGTCTTGCCTTGAGCATTAAATAAGTGTTTCAGATTGCTAATTGTCTGTTTGTGTTGGATTCTAGCTGCTGTGCTAACTATTGAACCCAGCTGGTCCAGTTATTTCATTGGAGAGTTTGTTACCTTCAAGTGTGACATGAATGAAGGAAGAGACACTGACTGGTATTACACAATCAACAAGGATGGTCGAGACTTTGTCCGCTACAGTGAATACAAAGTCTACACATTAGAAATGAGATCTACAGATCACAGTGGTAAATACCAGTGCTATGGCAGCTCAAAGGGGTCACATTATACAAAGAACAGTAATACTGTCTCTGTAACTGTATTAGGTAAGTCCTCAGTGATTAATAATGTGATGACTCCAGTTAAAATACTCATCTGAATTATAAAAAAAATATATGTGTTTAATAAATGTTTCATTGAAACAATTTTATTTCCAATGTATTGAAACTTTAAACTTTAAACAAGACCCTTGCATTTTACCTAACTTTGTTGACAATACACACTACAACCAAAATACTCAGACAATATGTTTTTTTGTCAATACAACATATGCATGTTTTAATGTATAACAAGAATAACTGTGGATGAAATGTAATTTAAATAATGAAAAAAGAAACATCAAAAGCTCCACATAATTTAAGGTGACGATGTTTCTGTTGTCTAAATGTGAAACCAGGCAGATCCCTCTGAACCCATCAGTGTGTTTCCTTCAACAGTGAACTTCATTAGTTTACATTCAGTGTGACTTCTTCAGGCCAAAGAATGGACAAACATTTGAAATGTGCTTATTTAGAGATCTACCTGAATTACCCAACTAACCTCAATATTGTAGCTCTCTCACCACCTCAGAAAAAAATAAAATGATCTTAAACTGTATTTAAAAAATAAATTTAATTAGGATTAGCATTCAACTTTATTGTCATTACACATTTATAAATACAGGTTAAGGAAATACAGTTTGCATCTGTTTAGAGTGCAAGAGTAGTAAGTGCTAAAAAATAGGAGCAATTATATACAGATAAGGGTAGTATAAATAAATGGTGGGATAGTTATGAACAGATTATGTACAGAGAGAGCAAATATACAGATGACCTACAGACATATGTACAGATATACAGATGATCTATATAGTATACAGATGTTCTGTATTGCTATACAGACAGGCAGAAATACAGATGTACTATGAACAAATATAAAGCTTTGCTAAATATATACAGATGTGCTACATATGGTAAACAGATCTACAGAGTGCTATGAATATATTCACAGTGGAAGCATAGCGCTCTGAACAGACTATAATAGTGAACAGTGTACGCACTATACCAGAGACTATACTGGTTCAGTGTCCTAAACTATAGCAGTAACCAATGTAAGCATATGGTGAATGTTGAGAATGAATGACAGTCATGATCATGGTCATTAGGAGGGATAAGTCGGTGTGGATGGAAAGGTTCAGCAGGGGACTGAATTCAGTAAGCTGACAGCTGTGGGGAAGAAGCTGTTCATAAACCTGCTGGTTTTAGTCTGTAGGGTCCGGTAGCGTCAGCTGAAGGGGAGGAGCTGGAAGAGTTTATTGGCAGGATGAGAGGAGTCCCTGAGAATGATGCGTGCTCAGCAAAGACATCTCTTCTTGGAAGTTGGAATTTAAATAAAATGAAAGCATATTTTAAAATGTTGTTCAATGGCTGTGTGTTTTCTTTTTGTCTTTTTGATAACAGCATATAGACCCTGGGCCACACTGACAGCAGGAACAACAATCATACCAGTAGGGGGCAGTGTGACACTGACCTGCTCTGTGCAGAGCTCTGATGGATGGAAATATGAGTGGTTCAGACGAACCCAAACAACCTATGAAGGTAAAATCAGAGATCAACAAAACAGAGATATCAGAGTATCTCAAGGAGGAATCTACAGCTGCAGAGGAACAAGAGGAAACCCAGTTTACTACACTGATATAAGTGATCATGTCAACATTAAAAAAACCAGTGAGTTCAGTAATTTAGTTTGAAATATACATTCACTCATGATTATCAAACGTACAATGTTAAGTTTTCTGTGTTGATTTCGTTTTTTTATTTGTATCTCAACTGTTAATATGTGTAAACAGTTTCTAACATGCTGTAAATTTAAACTGCAGAGAAAAGACAGACAAGAGTAAAAAAAACACAAAAAAGAAAATAATATTTTTTGTAGATTTCATTGGTAGTGGGAAGATCATTATCTGAAAATGTTAAAATTTAGCTTTTTTGTTGCCTTTTTTGTGCCCTTATGATATTTTGTTTGTTGCAAATCACAAGAGAAAAAGGGGGAACATCAAAAATGTATGTTAATGTAAAGTTGTCCTCAATGATGTTTTGATTGTCTAAACCTGCATACAGCCTTCTTAATCCATCATTGTGTATCCTTCATCAGAGAACTGTATAAGTTTACATTAATGTGACGTTTCCAGGCCATAGAATGGACAAACAGTGCGTTTATTTTAAGATCTACAGCAAGAGTTACATTACGATTATCTCCCTGCTGAGACAGGGACAAATAAATATTCAAACCTCTTACATTACTGGGAACAAAGACAAAAGCAATAGTCATATAATAACGAAGGGTAGTGATTTTGTTCTAACTGGGAAACTGCATAACATTAAAGCATTCTTTAGTAAAATGTAGCTTTTTAAAATGTGTCTATTTTTATAATGAAAACATATTTATTTTCACTCTTTCTTTTCATAACAGCAGATAAACCCAGGGCCACACTGACAGCAGGAACAACAATCATACCAGTAGGGGGCAGTGTGACACTGACCTGCTCTGTGCAGAGCTCTGATGGATGGAAATATGAGTGGTTCAGACGAACCCAAACAACCTCTGAAGTTCAAATCAGAGATCAACAAAACAGAGATATCAGAGTATCTCAAGGAGGAATCTACAGCTGCAGAGGAACAAGAGGAAACCCAGTTTACTACACTGATAAAGTGATGATGTCACCATTGAGAAAACCAGTGAGTTCAGTAATTTAGTTTGAAATATACATTCACTCATGATTATCAAACATACAATGTTGAGTTTTCTGTGTTGATTTCATGTTTCTGTTTGTATCTCAACTGTTAATATGTGTGAACAGTTTCCAATAAAGTTGTTGTAAAACAACAACCCAACTGGCCTCAGATATTCAGAGGTGAGACGATCACTCTGACATGTGAGGTGCAGGAAGGAGGTGAAACCACTGAGTGGGAGTATGAATGGAGAGGACCCAGGACACCCACACAGTGGACACACAATAATGATGTGACATTCAGAGTTTCTGAGTCCAGCAGTGGAGACTACATGTGTAAGAGTCGACGCAGAGATGACTCATATTCTTCAACAGAGTGGAGTGAAGCCTTCACATTGTCAGCATCAAGTAAGTCATGTTTGTTGTGTGATCTCCATTTGACAAATGTCATAATGGTCAGCACAGGATGAATTCAATGGTCTACAAAGCATGTTACACTGTTAGTCAGACAAAGAGCTGCAGCTGATAGTAGCCTCATTGTAGACAGTTTGTCACCACTTTGTGTCATGAACCTTCAGCTGGTATAGAGACGCCAATGCTGACCTGCTGCTCCATCACCTGAGGACAATGATGACAGAAATACAAAAACAGAAAAAAACTGACAAGATGGAAAAATGTATTATTACAAACAAACACTGAGGTGATGTCTGTGGAAATACAAAGTGGACTAAATGTGTGGGCTGAAGATGTAGCATATTAGCGATATTAAATTATCCAACATTTAGAGATAGTAAGATTAATGTTTTTTCTTTAATTACTAGTTTTCTTTGTGATTACAAGAAGTAATGCAATATTTTCCTTGTTCAGTTTCATTACTGTGGGGTGAGGCATCCTAGAGAGAGAGTGATTTGGTTGCATCAATCAACATTTTTAGTGACTGGTTTGTTTTGCCAACTGAGGTGAACTGTGTGAAAAATGTTCTTCTTTCTTTTTTTGTCATGAAATTGATGCTTTCAAACACTTTATTTAAGAACTTTGCATGAGCAGTGGTAGATAAATGAATGCATTTCGTTTTATTAATGGAACAAACAGTGATGTGGAAGTTTTTGATATTAGTGTGTATGTGTTCAACAGGAGGTTTATAGAGACAGAGATATGTTGGTATGTTTCTTCTGATCATGTAGGAAGAAGACTATTCCCTAATCAAAGCAAACTTACCATGAAAAAATAATCTAATCAAATGAAAATGTTTTATGAAAGTCTGAAATTTGAAAAAAATCTCATAAATAAAATGTTTCTATATTAAATTTGTCTGTGCAGCTGTGTGGGATGTGGGACTTATAAAATTCCATTAGTGAGAAGTTCTGTGTCTTCTGTTGTGGTAATAAGAAGGAATCACACAGAATAAGCACAAGTATTATTTTATAAATCCAAAGAAGAATCATAATGAAACAGAAAAAATATATAAACACTAAAATACTAAAATGCATTATAGGCATCTGTAAGATTACTCATACCATTTCAGTTTAGTCTTATTCCTTCCTTTGTGTTGTTGGAAACTGGAGAGCAGGTTTACAAGAGGTAACATTAACGGAGACAACATCAGGGCCGTGTGATCCCTCATGTGGGGTATATATTCATATTTTCTTTGTGTCTTTGTTTAAACTCAACAGCAGATCAATCAAAGGCCCAAATAACTTCTGATATGAGAGACATTCCAGTAGGGGGCAGTGTGACCCTGACCTGCTCTGTGAACTCATCATCATCATCTGGATGGAAATACTACTGGTACAGAGATGAGAAATCCTCTGAAGCCCTGACCACACAAGATGCAGTTTTCCACTCAAATGGACAAATCAGTGTCTCACAGGAAGGACTCTACAAGTGCAGAGGAGGAAGAGGAAACCCAGTTTACTACACAGAGGACAGCCAGTCAGTCAGGATTGATCGCAGGGGTGAGTTTTTTTCTTCTTCTAGAAACACAAAATGTGAAAAGTTAATGATCTGACATTTACACCTTTAGTGGATGTATGAATGGAAAACGACCAAACTTCCAACAAAAATGAATTCAGGAAGTTAAATATGCTTTTAAAACCCGATGATGCAGAATACAACTGTGAGGGGAGAGTGCACACCAGGGTTCAACAGATTAGAGTGAATACTTCCGTTTGTCAGTATTCATTATGTTTTTATACAATACTCAGAATATATGAAGATGTGAATCTACTTCTATGCTCACTCATCATCTACTGTATAATTATAATAATAATTATCATTACTGAAAAATTCAGTGTCTGCAAAAAAACGTAAATGTTCTTCTGAGCTTAAACATATTAGCACAGAGCTTTAAAGTATAAATACAAATTGATAAAATAGCGATATATACTTTTGTCTCTGTAAAGCTGACATTATGTATTTGAATTAGAAAACTATTCACAGAATTTATCACCACTTGCATGAATCAAAATATGCTGTTGGTTTAAAGAACTTTGTTCATAAAGGAATGATAAACAGGTGATGTGAAATTCAAAAGTTTTTTCTTTTATTCACTATTCAGGTAAATAATCACCACAGAGAAATATGATAGTAAAACAAATAGAATATTTTCAGTTATTATTAGGAATAGTGATATTGTAAATAATACTATATTTTAAAATGTTCCCATGTGAATTATGTTAATAATCTGTTTAAATGCATCTAATTAAAGCCTGGTATTATTACAGCAGCACCTGAAAGCTCTTCATTTCTCACTCCTTTGATCGTTGGACTCGTTTGTGGAGTTTTACTGATTCTTCTTCTTCTTCTGCTTTTGTGTCGCTTCAAACAGTCAAAGGGTGAGACCATTAACCATCTGATATTAAACTGAATATGATGTAAATAATAAAAATCACAGATGTATCCTGAACTCTCAATGTAATATTTCTGCACCACAACAGGTTACAATAAAAAATGTAATTGTCTTTTCTTACAGATTCATTCTTTGTCAGGTTGGTTCAAATCTCCCCTCTCCTGTACTAGAACTACATCCTGTGTTTCTTATTAAATCTATCAGTTTACTACGTTTGGTTTTTTTGTTGTTTTTTTTGTTCCACCAGGACTCGGAGCACAAATCAGAGCTCTGTAATGAACCACATGATCAAGGATGAAGCTCAACACAGTCAAGATAACTCTACTGTCCAAGGTCAGCCTGATCCATGACAAGTTTTGTTGTTGTTGTTGTTGTTGTATTTATTAATTTATTTACTGATGATTTTTAAACTCCAGGTCCAATATATCTGTTTCTAGTTTGCTGATTTAGAAGATAATCAAACCCATACATAAGAAATTCAATTTTTAACCTAACATTGGCTTGTTTTTGTAGGTGATGCTTGTGTTTATGAATCAATCAAAGACCATGATGACACACAAAATGGTAAAGTAGATACAGTAGCATTGACATATGAAGACTGTGATTATTTATGTTTAAACATTGAAGTTTTAGAAATCAGCTGCACACAGATAAGAAAACAAAGAGGTTGGACACTTGGTCCTTCCAGTGTAACACAGGGTCAGTTCAACTTTAATAACCAGGGTGGAGGAAGCTTGAAGTGATCTGACACTGAAATGAGATTTAACAGTAACAGGTTGTCATAAAATCTCGTCTTCAATAGAGCGAAAATCTCCTTCAGTCTGTTCCTGTGATGAGTTACTGTAGGTGTTAACTGACAGAAAATATAAAGGAAATTAAAGCCACTCATTTTTTAATGCTGCTCATCTGTCCATCCTCTTTTAGATGACAGCCTGTTGTACGCACGGGTCTATTACACTAAAGCGAAACCTAAGAGACACAAAGGTAAGTAATGTAATAAAATGAGTACCTTATTTCTTTTGTTTTGGGTTTTACACGTTTTACACACCAGGGAAAACCGTATAAATAAATCAAGTTGTCACTTTGAACAAAGAGGCACTTGCAATGACATTTGACAAATCATTTCTTTATTTGCAGGAAAACCAGCTCCTGCAGCAGCTGATGAAACAGTTTATTCTGAAGTTAAATCACAAACAGCTCTGGGTAACTGTGCAGAAATAAAATAGCTTACATGTTGCTGTAACGATGAACTTAAATACTAAAGTTTTTAAGTTTTTAGGGAGTAAATTTAGTTCTAAATCTCCTT